TCTTTTCTTCAGCACAAGAGATTTAGCTCTTGTGGTATAGTTTCTAGTAGATTTTAATAAAGGTTTAATTGTTTTTGGTTATTTTTTTTTCCTCTACTACTAAACATAAGTGAAGAGAGAGAGAGAGAGTTTTTTTTTCTGTTGCTTGTTTTATTTCTTCTGGATTATTAATTATTTTGTTTGGTGTTATAATCTTATCAAATGAAACCTGGTCTTGGTTGCATTTGAGTATACTGTTTATTATTCAAGATGTATTAGTCTCCATATTATTGTATCTTCTTTGAATATAATAATTGATTTTTTCTTTTTGTGCATTTTGAATTTTAAGGTTTTGAGCTTTTTGAGCTTTTTATAAGGTCTTTTGAAGAGGTTTCAAGGATTGCAAGAAGAGATGGTAGTTGGATGTGATGTCTTGGGTTTGACAAGAATTAATAGACTGGTCTGTATAGAAGAATATTTGTTGTAGTAAATTGTAAGTATTTTGTATAACAGAATTTATCAAAGTTAGAGGTCTTAAATGTTTAATATCATTTAGGCATTTGTTTGTAACTTTGAGTGCAAAATGTAATTTGGTTGCTTTGAGAGAGTAAGCATGATATGTTTTAGAAGCTGTATAAGTTTTTGATATGATTTGGTTTGCAACTTTCTTAATTGAGTTTAACTATTTGTTTCAAATTTTGTTTAGTTGTTGTATTGTTGTAATGTCTTGTGTTGAAGGTATTGATTTAAATTCTAATTCAAGTGCATTAGTGAAATCTTTCTATTTGTCTGTTGACATTTGATAATATAGATATATTTTTCTTTTTTTCTTTTTGGATTGAGGTAGTTTTAGCTGAAAGTTTGTTTTCCATATAGTAACAATTATTTTATGATTGCTGTTTGTAATATCTACTGGATCGATAATTTTAGGTAAACTAAAGTTTAGTAAATTTCTGAGCTGACCCATATGTCATCTATTTGGCTTTGATTTGATCCTCTTTACCATGTAGATTCAGTTATTGCATAGAATTCTATTAGGCTGGTAGATGATAGTAATTGAAGTGTAATAAAGAGATTTGATGTTTGTTTAAAGTTTCCCATTGTAATTATATGCCAATTATGGCTTCTTGCTTGTGATTTAAGTTGTTCTGAATGGTTTGATGAAAGATATACGAAGATAAGATAAAGCTTATTGTTTGAAGATAAATGAAAGTCAATGCTTATTGCTGTGTCTGCTACTGTTTGTATATTAAATATGTAAGGTTAAAGTTTGTAATGAAGCATGATTGCAGTCCCCATACTAGCTTCATGTTGAGAATTATCTTTTGGTTCGAAATTGGATGTGTAGATTTTGTAGAGTGGATTGAAAAGTGTTGAGACATTAGAATTTTTGAGTTTGGTTTCCATGATTGAGATAATATGATAGTTGTTTTTGGCACAGTATTCTAACCAGATTTGTAGTTTTAGTAGCTTGTTAAGTTTCTGTACATTGTGAGTTACAATATTAAGATGGTTCTTGATATTTATAAGGCTTTCATTAGGAAGAGTTTGTAGTGTATTAATAGAGTTATCATTGTTTAATTTCAAAGATGATGTGTTTTGTTTTTGAGGTATTGAGATTGAGCTATTATTTTTTTTGTTGTTGTCATTTATTTTGCATATGGGCAAAATATTCTCCAGTTGGGTTTTGGGAAAGGTAGAAGTGTGGCAAATTCATCCTTTTTGATTCATGGGGTCCATTTTTTTTAATTCATCAGGTGATTGACAAAAAAAGGCCATTTTTTTATAAGCATATGCCAATCTTTACATGATACAATGACATATATCAATATTATGTGAACTTACACATTCGATTTTATTGTTGTTAACCAATCAAATTATTAGATCGAACTTTAATCAATTGTAGTATAAAAGGAAAAAACAAGTGTAATTAGTATAGAGATTGGTTCTTTTTCCCTAATGATAATATGAAAAAAAAACCTCATATAACGTAAGAAGCAGTTTGTTGAGTAGAGATAAAGGTGTCATCACATTAAGTGAAGATTAAGGAGGAGTTGGAGGATTTGGAGGTTGAGGTGTTGTAACCAGATGTGTTGAGTGAAGAATGGTAGAGTAGAGACAAGAGAGAAGTAAGAGATAGAAAGGTGTCATTAGCACATTGATTTAAAATAAAAAAAGATGCCACCAGTGCATTTAATTGAATTAAATTTTAAAAAAAGGTATCATTAGTAATTTACTTAAAGCTATATGTGTTAAATAAGGAAAATCTGAAACTTACAAATACTTTGTTGTAGGCCAGACGAAATAAAAGGTTTCACCAGTTTATTAAATTAAATAAATAAATAAAAAGGTATTGTTAGAATATACTTAAAGCTATGTGCATTAAATCAGAAAAATCTGAAACTTACCAATACTTTGTTATAGAGAAGATGAAATAAAAGGTGCTACCAGTATGTTAAAATAAATAAAAAAAGGTATCATTTGTAATCTGCTTAAAGCTATGTGTGTTAAATTAGAGAATTCTGAAACTTACCAATATTCTTTTATAGGGAAGATGAAATACATTATTGTATATACCTATAACTATATAACTGAATATGGCAATGCATATGTTACATCAGATGAATACAGATGGAAGTATTAGTTTACCATTTGGATGTGCTGCTGAGACATATATCTTATTATTACCAATTGTAAAAGATGCACATTTCAAATGTCAAAGCCAACAAAAAGTAAATCAAGCGATTCAAAAAAACCTTGTTATTTTTAAACATAAAGAAGGTGCAATTGACTTCAAAGGCTGGACAATGATTAATGGCATGACACAATCAACAAATCGCTTGGATGACAGACTTGAACTAACAGAAAAGGGACAGAGCTATGTTATTCAAATTCAGCAAGGTTTAGTTCTGGATCTCTGTATTTGGCATTGGGTTTTTTACTGTGCAAGTGATGGGAACTGTCAGAGAATATGTGGTGGATTCAGAAATTGTGTACTCAATTGTTCAAATTATCAAATGAAAAACAATTTAAAAAATGGCAATAATATGCACAAGTGCAAAGTTCACATAACTACCAAAGTTATGCTTAGTATGGTTGCAGAAAGATTTCCTATTAAATTATATATCTAAGGTTAGCATATTCCTACCAACATTTCTATTCAATATGAATCAGCTATTACACATTTAAATCTTAGTAGAACTGTAAGGGATTAGGTAATTTTAAGTTGATGTGCAGATGGATGTACAGCTAAAGAAGTAAAGCTCAAACTATTAACTCCATTTAATGGTGCATCAAAAGAACAATTGAAGCAACAAGAAAAATGTGAAGTTAATATATGTAGTGAACAAAAAATTCAACAGTTGATAGAACAAAATAGTCGATATAGTCATGATGTAGGTTCATGGACAATTTTACATAGTTTAGTTATGAATGAATTGAAGGAAAAGGGATTCGTTCTTTATTATCAACAAGAGGATCAAAACTTTTCTTTAAATTCTCCAAAACACTATTATCAACTTACTGTAAGTGATAATATGTGGCTTGAACAAGCAAGAGATTATGATGCAAAGTATGATCTAAACAATAATCAAGCACTTATTCATACTCTTGTAGTAGAAGATGGAGGAAATTGGGGCACACCTATAGGATTTGCATTATCTAACAAAGAGAATATGTATACAATAAGGCTTGTGGTTGAAGCAATAAGAGCAAATATACCTTGTAAAAATATAAATTGTGACCATCTATATGAATATATTGCACTATCTAAAAATAAAGGCTTTAAACATATATGGCCTTGTGCAATTAAATAGAAACCTTTCACAATGATGGACAAACACAGACCAACAAAGGCTGCATTAAAGCCTATTCTTTGAGGTACAATACTCTGTTGGTTTCATATAATGCAAACTTTTAGAAATCATTTTCGAACACAAAAAATTGATTGGAGCTTACAGTAATGCATAGTATTTATGAATCTTTTACATATTTTTTATATTAATTGTAGCATTTTATGCCAAAATTGGATTATGATGAAATGTTAAATATATATTAATAATATTATTTATATATATTATATTATTTATGCAGATACCTGATAGCATTAGCATTTAAAATTATTGGCAGATGCAGATGTGTAACTGAAGCCAAAAAAATGGCAATCAAATATAAAAATTTTATAAATTTACTTCCAATTTCCACCCAAGCAAAAGCATTTTTTATACATGATCTTGAGAAAAATTGGCTCTGTAAAGAATGGATTCTTGGTTTTATTGATGGCAGATGCTTACTTAGTCAGGAAGATGGCCTCATACAAAGCCATGGACCACTAATAATTTTACTGAAAGGATGAATAGAACTATTGAAAAAAGATATTCAGGTACCCAAATAGTGTTGACTTTCATCGAACGTCTTAATGGTATCAGTATTTCTTGCTTAAACTTTACAAAGAATTGTGGTTAGTTGGTTTTTAGTGCGGGCTTGTTACATACTGGAATTCATGCACTATTGAGCACCAAAATGGGCTATGCATATTGCAATCTGGTATAGTACGTTGCATAAATCAGAGGAAATTAAAAGTATTACAGAATAACATTCTTGAAGTTTTAGACAACCCAGACTTTTTATATGTGCATATGAATAATTACAAGCAAAATACTTTTCAATCTCTGTATATGGCAGATAAGATCAGGTTTGAAGATAGCAAAGCTCAAGGAGTGTCTAAGATGATTAAAAAGCTTGCAGAAAAGCATATAGTTCCAATACTTCCTGACTATTACCTAGTTAATTATATTACAGGCAAATGTATCTGTCTTGATTTCATTTGGCATGGATCATTTCGTGATTGTTGTAAACATGGACATGCAGCACATATCTATGTATCTATAAAGGCAAATGAAAATTCAATTGATCAAATAAAAAAAGAACTTATTCAATATTTTTGAAATAAAGAACAAGTAATAGCATTTAATATAAAAAATAAAATAATATATACTGGCTCTGATGAAGAAGCTTATGCAGAAATTTTACATCAGCATAAAGCCAAGAGAGATGCTATTTTTTTTTTAACTGAAAAGCAAATTATTGAAAATGATCTGTTTAGGCCAAGTGAGCTTCCAAAGACAAGGCATACTACTTCAATAATTAATATTGTAACACCTCACAAATTTGATAATAGACATAATATTTGAGTAGAAGATCAAAAGATTACTGAAAATGAAGTAAATAGACAAGTCATATGTATAACTTGACTTTGTGCAATATGTAATATTTTTTAAATTAAATTAATCAATATCTTTCTAATTGATAATTTTAAATTTATTTTACAGCATTTAAATAGTATGGCACATTCACTAAATGAGAATATTGATTCATTTACTCTAAATGATAATCAAATCAATCATGATAATTCATATTTCAATCTGTGATTATCACGATCAAGAAACAATAATTGCACAAAATGCTGATAGTTCAGAACTTTGATTTACTCAGCCCAAATCAAATAATGTAAGCATAGTTTATTTATGGTATATTTGAAGTAATAAAGTCTAGATTATATATTAACTTACCATTAAATGGCTAAGCCATTGGTTCCAATTGTAGAGAACAAGAATATTTCATGTTCTATTGAAAAACATCAATCCAAAAGAATATGAAATAATAAGCATAAAGATGTAAGTAAATTTTTTTTTTTTTTAAAAAAAAAAATGTGAATTGGCATACTTTATTAATATAATACAATTATTTAACTATTTACAGTCTAATATGTGTTTAATGTTTATATGTTTCATAATTTTTTGTATTCTTTTTCCTTTTTGCAATTTGTTTAGAACTTGCAAGTTTCTTTTAATTTTCTCTTCAGTAACTTTACCAACTATTGATTCAGGAATAATATTTTCTTCCCATCTAGCTTGGGTATACCATAGCCATATTTCATATATAGCTGAGATATGTATCCATCATGCTGTCTCAAGTTTAGAGGCATCATGAATATTACTGGCCATAAAGATTTCTTCTAGTGTTTCTGGATACTTCACTTCTTGAGGATTATCAAATACTTTATAGTGTTCTTCTCAGATTATTTTGCTAATATTACAATCTATTGCAAAGTGTTTGATTGTTTGTTTCTTCTCAGAACAGTTTAAGCAGTTTCCGTCTATATCTTTGTCTATGTGCATTAGCCTATATCCTAGTAGTAATGCACTATTTTGTAATCTCCAGAAGATGTCCTTTTTTTGATTTAATACTCCCTTTATATCTAACCATTCAAAAGGCTTTTGTCAGTTTTCTTGTGATGTTATAGGGACTTGAGAGGTTGTTGGCATTATTGAATGTAATCTCAAATATTCTATTGTTTTTTTTACTAAGTACTGATCTCCGGACTGGTTACCTATTTTTAAACTGGAGGCATTCCATGGCCAATTACTTGTAGAGTTGGTTGTTCCTTCAAGTCTCTTCCATGCTGTTAGGTATGGTCTCCAGATCTCTGACCAGCCCTTTAGCTTTATTGGATATTTGGTTAAGGCCTTAGTTACAGTTATTCCTCTTTTATCCTGTAACTGTTTAG